ATGTATATCGTTATTAATCGTAATTCTATGGCCGATTTTAAAATAAAATTTAGTCCGAAAAAAATACTTCGGCCGCCATACTTTTTCATAAAACTCAAAATGGGGCTTCGGGGGAGAATGGGATTGGTCAAATTTTTATGTTGGTGTATACTTTAGTCGATGGCGACAAAAATGTTGGGAATGGATTTTTGAATTTGACTTTTGCTTTTTTGCAACTTCCAGTCGAATTTTTTTCAATTTTTGAAGGCTTGTATCTCGTGACCTTGACCTTTGATGACCTTGACCTTCATAGGGTCAAAGATCATTGACCTTGGCTATCATTTGATACTTTGACCTTTGACCTCCGACATGTACTTCTGGTTTTATAGCTATCCGTATAAAGCCAAATTCGCAACTTTCGACTGCTCTAGCACGTGACCTAATTAACCTAGAGGGTTAATTTTTTCGGTTTTCTAATGTGCTTCTCATGCACTTTACATAGATATAGAACAATTGCTTTTTAAAGCAAAATTGAAATTCGTGATTTTTTCAAATTTGAGTTTAGTTTTACCATATTTGTGTCTTTTTGATCTTGGTGTAAGTATATCTTATGACCTATTCTATGTAGAACCTTGATATTTGGAATACAACTAGACACTTTGAATATGAATTCACCTATGACAAAAAAATTGGGGTGGGCGTGGCACATCCGGGTTGAATTACTAATTGTTTACATTTTGCGGCTGGGGCATAACTCGCATAGGATACGTTTGTTCAAAAAGGGACTTTGCACACAATTACCTCATCCTTTTGGCCAGTTTGTGTTAACAGCTCAGTTGTTTCAGCTTTATAGTTCCAAAAAAGGAACGGGTTTTTTACATTTGGATATTTTCATTTTTCGATTTTGACCTTTGTTGACTTTTGTTGACCTATATCTTTTGACCTGTATGATGTAGAAGCTTGAAATTTGGAACACGACATAACATTTTAAATATCAATTAAACTATGCAAAAAAAATTGAGGTGGGCGTGGCACATCCGGGTTAAATTACTCATTATTGACATTTTTGGCCAAGGGCATAACTCGCAAAGTATACATTTG